TTCTACAGCTCTCCACCAAACGACAGATTAGGACTTGAAACTTATCCACTGGTATCTAAAGTTGCTTAATTTTTACTTACTTTTTTGGGGTTTTTAAAAACGTGAAGCAGACAATTTTCTTTGCCTACCAAATTCATCTTGTTTCTATCTTTTTATAAACAGTAAAAACTTTTTTTAAGAAATTAATTTACTAAAAAGTAAAATGTTTTTTTTTTTGTATTAGTTTAAAGCAGTCAGCAAAAACAAATGATTAAACATTTTTTCTTCTTCCACGTAGCTAACTTTTTTGTCACCAAAAAGAAAACGTTTTTACCATTACTGTCAAAAGCAACAGTTAATAAAATAACGGCATATACCAACGAGAAAAAAGTGGTAATTTTTAATTTTTTTACTTCTAATGGATTTAGAATTATAATAAAAAGACCTGAGCAAAAAGTAAAAAAGTTGACAAAGACCAAACAAAAAAAAAATAACCAGTGTACACAAAATTTGCTTGCAGTCTAATTAAATTAGTCTTGATTTAACTATATTGCACCATTTGCTTTACATTTCAATAAAATATAAATGTATGATAATTAGAAAGACAATAAATTAAATTCTTACTGTTTATGATCTTTTTTGTCGTTCTTTTTTTTCTTCGCTAACCGATAAAAGACTTTAAATTGAGTAAAAAATGGAAGACAATTGATCAGTGTTTCTTTCATGGTCATTTGAAAAATTGTATCGCCGTCGGAAAGAAAAGAGAAAATACTAAACACTGCAATCTGCTAATTCTTATTTATACATTGAAGAAATTTAAAGTATTTTTTGAGCAATTAGACTGAAATTTAAACTAACTATGTTATCCAGTCTTATCTGTATTCTGTAAAGTACCGAGGACGACAGCAACAGTAGGAATAGTCTACAGTTTACAATCTGACAGCACACTTCTTCTGATAATTGATCAATTTTGTCTCAGGTTTTTTGTGTTTTTCTTTGTCTGTTATTTTTTTGCACTCTATTGAACACAAAAAAAAAGTCAACATTGAAAAAAGGTAAAAAAGACAAGAGCTTAGATTTAAAATGACAATTTTTTCAGACTATTAAGTCATTACTGTTATTTTGTTTATGTTTTTTTATCTTTTCCTGTTACCTAAGTTTATCGTCATCTGACTGAGGTCTAAAGACTAAGAAGAGAGACTAAAAAATGATTTATGAGCAACAACTCTGGTAACAACAAACGACAAGGATAACAGCAACTACAGTAATGTCAGTGACGTCCGTACAGCAAAAGTCGAAAAACAGTAAAAGATAACAATGACACATTAGAATATTCTAAATTTCCAAAGCAACAATTGAATTATTAATATTTCTGAACTTTTAACTTTTTTTAAAAAAATAACAGATCAAAATGAGACAAAAGACTTATTTTTCTCTAGTAAAATTTAAAAAGGTAACACTAATCATTAAAGATCATTAAAACTGACTGACTACTTCACCGCCGTCAATCTAGTCTTTCTTTCTAATTCGATTTTCTTCTCTTCGTTTTACTTCATTTACTGTTTTTGACTAGTTGTAAACGTTTCGCGCTTATCGTGCTATTGATACGGATGTTTCTGCGGCCGCAAGCTTACAGAAGACAATTCCGTTCCCAAGAGCTATAGCAAAGCCCTCATAACTGTGCAAAAATTGAAGGCCGGTTAAAAGTGCCACAGAACTTCAAATGTTCTTAGTGTCGCTAAACCATGTTTTATAAATTTTTTTTTTCAAAGAATCTGTGACAGTCACATATATCCTCCATTAAAGAAATTTAAGCGAAGAAAAATAGTAATAAAAACAATAAACGAAGAAATAGTTGAAGTGATTAGAATAGTGATACAGAAATCTCCACTGTTCAAACGAATTACTGCTACAGCAACAGGTATGATTTCCTCTCATAAAATTTTGTCTTTCTGTAAAAAAGAAACATAAGCTT